TCTATCTCTCCTATCTAACCTTTCCTATCTCATCTCTCTTTCTATCTATCTCTCCTATCTGTCTGATCTCTCCCTCTTTCTCTGTCTTTCTCCCCATCTGTCCACCTCTCCTACCTCGTCTCTATCTCATTGTCTCTTCTGACTGTCTGTGTCTTTCTTTCCTTGTCTATTTAATGCTCCATCCATCCATCCATGACAAACCTCGCCCTCCTCCTTTGATTTTGCAGGATTTTTCCTTCGTGCACAAGGTATCCATGTTCCAGCCCTTTATGGGTTCTTCTATGTTTGCCCCGCTGAAGATGCTCCCCAGCCAGTGCCTGCTCCCACTGAAAGTCCCCGAGGCCTGCGTCTATCGGCCTTCGTGGGCCATTCCTCCCAAAATCGAGCAGCTTCCTTTGCCGCCTGCAGCTGCTTTCATCAGAGATGGTTACAAGTAAGTACAAGCAAGGAAATGTGTTTTTCAAACCGCCGGCTCTTTCTCAGTTCTCTTTCCTGGTTATTTCTCGAGAGATAATCCTTGGCCTATCCATTCCTTCGTATGGGATGCGGTGGCTCAGCGGCTAAGATGCTGAGCTTATCGATCAGAAAGATCGGCAGTTCGGTGGTTCGAATCCCTAGCGCCACGTAATGGAGTGAGCTCCTGTTACTTGTCCCAGCTGCTTGCGTCTATCACTCCTACCTTCGTAAGGTCTCTGGTGACCGCAAAGAATTAAGACTCTTGACTGCGTCTGGGCCACAATGTAATTGTTGGGGTTTTTTTTTTTCCTTTTAATAACAACAACAATTTCCCCCAAGTCTGAGCTGATTATTAATTGGCGGTATTTATTGGGATAAAAATCTTTTCTTCCCGTTGTGATCCAATTAGAGCAAAGTCTGTTACTGCAAGCTTCCACCAAGGAATTGATTGCTAATCAAAGTTTCTAGGTCATCTTTTCTTGCTTCCTTAAGGGACTCAGAAGTCTTTCAGTTTTACTTTTCCAAATCTGCACGATGTTCTCCCCCCTCCCCCAACTCCTGTATTTCTTTTCTCTACTTAATTAGAACGACTAAATGTGCAGGTTTCTGCTCTTTCGTCAAGGGAACAATGGCACAAAAGCAGCACATTTTAAGGAACATGCTCGTATTCGGAATTCTTGTTTTTATTAATTATTTGATTTGTGTTAGCCACCCATCTCATTTAAGCTACTCTGGTTGACCCACAACAGCTCCTTCTCCTCTTCCTCCCACTCCTGTGGGTCACCCACAACAGCTCCTCTTCTTCCTTCTCCTCCTCCTCCTTGCAAACCCCACTCCCTTCTAGCACTGATGATATTACCTAGTTGAGTCATGAAATGTCCGCAAGAAAACAACCAAGCTCAGAGAACATCAAGAACCCCACAGCCGCCCTCCACTTCCACCTCCTTTTCTGGGTGACCCATGACAGCTCCTTCTCCTCCTCCCTCCAAACCCCACACCCTTCAAGCATTGATGATATTACCTAGTTGAGTAATTAAACGTCCGCAAGAAAACAACCAGGCTCAGAGAGCACCAAGAACCCCACAGTTCAACTCTGAGCTACAGATGTTCTCTTCTGTCGGTAACTGGGTGGTTCACATCTTGTGCCAACGCTGAAAGAAACACATTGACTGCTTCCACTTTGCCAAGCCGTTGTCTGTTCCGAAGTCAGCGCTTTAACGAATCTTGTCCGAAATACCGCTAGAAAATAATCTGTCAGCGTTCCAAATATCATCCAAAATTAAATCAGAGTCCAAGGCAAAGCATTGCTCTAAGTTCCAATTTATTAAGAGAGACATGTTGGCTCTTCTGTGGAAAACCCGAATCTGAAAGCTTCCCGGTTTTCCCCACCCAGTTGAAAGTTCAAGATCTTTCCCCCATACCCACAAGCCCATCCCATGGCCCAATCTCCCACAGCCACGCTGGTAGCTTCCACCCATCCAGTTCTGGTCAGGTGCAGAGGTGCAGAGACAAAGGAAGACCTTGGGCTTCTAGAAAGTAATTTTGTTTTGGCTGGATAGCATTCTACTTCTATTCCCCCTCCCAATTCCCCACTAATGAAACCGCATAGTCAAATGAGAGAGAGTGTGGCAGGCCAAAGATCCTAAAAGGAATATGACTGCAGGCCTGACATAACCACTTCTCTTTCTCTTGCTTTTGTAGCAACATACCCAGCGTCGGAAGCCTGGCTGATCAAGATTATCTTCAAATGAACACGCCACAAATGAGCACTCCGGTCACGCTCAACAGCACTGCGCCCGCCAGTAACAGTGGGGCAGGGGTCTTGCCGTCCCCGGCCACCCCTCGCTTCTCTGTCCCGACCCCACGCACACCCAGGACTCCACGGACTCCGAGAGGCGGGGGCACCGCCAGCGGGCAAGGGTCCGTCAAATACGACAGCACAGACCAAGGCTCGCCAGCTTCCACACCCTCCACCACCCGGCCCCTCAATTCTGTGGAACCGGGCACCGTCCTGCCCATCCCGGAAGCCCACAGCCTCTACGTCATGCTCCTCCTCTCCGACTCCGTGCTGAACATTTTCAAGGATAGCAATTTCGACAGCTGCTGCATATGCGCCTGCAACATGAACATCAAGGGCGCCGACGTCGGGCTGTACATCCCCGATTCGTCGAAAGAGGACCAATACCGCTGTACTTGTGGGTTCAGCGCCATCATGAATCGCAAGCTAGGGTACAACTCGGGTCTCTTCATTGAGGACGAGTTGGATATTTTCGGCAGGACTTCGGACATCGGCCAGGTGGCCGAAAGGAGGCTGATGATGTGTCAGAACACCTTAATCCCTCAGCTGGGAGAAGGCGCCAAAAGGCTCCAGGAGCCCCCCGTGAGTCTCCTCCTCCTCCTTCAGAATCAGCACACCCAACCTTTCACCTCCCTGAGCTGCTTGGACTACATGTCGGTCACAAGTCGGCCGGCGCTGTCTTACACGAACTGGAGTTACGACAGGGTTCAGGCGGAGAGCCACGACTCCTGGAACGAGTGCTTTAACGCCCTGGAGCAAGGCCGCCAGTACGTGGACAACCCCACGGGTGGGAAGGTGGATGAAGCCCTTGTCCGAAGTGCGACCGTTCACTCTTGGCCTCACAGCAACGGTAAGATAGAATTGCACTTATATACCGCTTCGCCGTGTTTTTCCGGCCCTCTCTTAAGCGGTTTACAGAGCCAGCCTCTTGCTCCCCCAACAATCTGGCTCCTCCTTTTACTGACCTCAGAAGGACGGAAGGCTGAGTTAAACTTGAGCCGGTCAGGAATGAACTCCTGGCAGTGGGCAGAGTTAGCCTGCAATACTCCTTTCTAACTACTGCACAGGAAGAATGGGAAGGAGGAAGGAAGGAAGGAAGGAAGGAAAGAAGGAAGGAAGGAAGGAAGGAAGGAAGGAAGGAAGGAAAAGGAAGGAAGGAAGGGGGAAAAACAAGAGCGAAGCAATAGCAATATCACTTAATATGTTATACCGCTTCACAATGCTTTAAAGCCCCCCCACCCTTAAGCGGTTTACAGAGTCAGCCTGTTGCCCCCAACAATCTGGTTCAGGCTGGAAGGCTGTGTCAAGTTTGAGCCGATAAGGATCGAACTCCTTGCAATGGGCAGAATTAACCTGCAATAGCAATAGCACTTAGATTCATATACTGCTTTACGGTGCTGTACAGCCCTCTCCAAGTGGTTTAAGAGAGTCAGCCTCTTGCCCCCCAACAATCTGGGTCTCCTCATTTTACCCACCTCGGAAGGATGGAAGGCTGAGTCAAGCTTGAGCCGATCAGGATCGAACTCCTGGCAACGGCAGAGTTTGCCTGCAATCCTGCATTCTGACCACTGTGCCACCAAGCTATTACGATGCAGAAATAGAGCAGGGTTTCTCGGGAATGTTGAACCTTTAAATCTTATTGAAATACCTTGGCTGTTCTGAAACCAGTGTTTTTTTTTAATAGCTAGCTAGCTAGCTAGCTAGCTAGCTAGCTAGCTAGATAGATAGATAGATAGATAGATAGATAGATAGATAGATAGAT